GCCCATGAGCCAGAACACAAACAGCAAACTGCTAAAAAGCTCCTTTCACCCTCCTCACCTCTTTTTTTTCTTTAATTCTTCTGTGTGGATGCTTGTTCATCACAAAAGGTCATAGTAAACATCCCCAGAATCTGGGATTTCAAGGATACCTATCAATGTTTATGTCAACTTTTATTAAATAAAAGAGTACTTTGTTCAAATTCATCACGGTTTAATTTTTCTTAAAACAAATAATTTATTTCTTTCTGGTTTAATCTATAATGTAATTCAAACACATTTTTTTAGAATTGTGTTTCAGTTTTTTTATTTCTTGCCCCAAACAAAATATTTATTGTCATCTTAAGTGTCTTCCTTACACTTAAGTTATTTCTCAGACTTTCCTCTTCTTTTTCCAGATATTTACTCAGGTATACCAAATTCAGAAGAGTAAATACGATACTCCTATTAGAGTAAACACAACTGTAGTCATATCATAATTTTTAATCTTGGTAATGAATTGACTGAAAAATAACAAATATTCTTAGTTTCAATACTAATACCTTTTTGCATGTCTGTGAGGAGTTGCTGAAGCCTCCAAAGTGACATACAATCAATTTTCATGTCAAACTTTTTCCTTCACTATTTCTCCAACTCCAAAGCTTTTTCTCCCTCCTCACTATCAGCCTCCAGCTGCTTAATTAGCTCAGTAACTTCCAATAGCAAAGCTTCTGTTTCCTGCTTCAAAGTTAACATCTTTGCCATCTTTAAAAATACATTAAAAATATTTTTTATGAAAGCTTAATCATATGCTCTTTAGTCAAACTACATTGTCAACAGCAAGTTGGCCTGTTCATAGCAAGCACAACTGGTTAAATTGCTGTCTTTAAAAATACTTTATAATTGTTCCGTATGAAGGCTTAAACACACACTCTTAATTCCAACTTCTTCCTCAGAATAAAGCTAGCCTCTTCACCTCTATCAAGGCAAGCACAACTGGTTACAAACATAACTTTCAGTTATATTAACTTTCAGTAGCATTTTCCTCCAGCTTAAATCCAGTGCAAAATGCAACAAAGATGTATTAATATCCTCGGCACAAAATTTTCATCTTTGCCTCTTTGCTTGGGTAAGTAATCATCCAAATAACAATACAAGTTCATAATTGTCTCAGTTTTTTCAAGAATACTTATTTAATTTCAATTACTCCATGAAAGTCTTTGGAGACCTAAGAATATTCAGCGTAATATCTCAACAGCACTGTTTTGCTTGTGATAAACAAAATCATCATTCCATTCTGTGAAATATGGGTATGAAAAACGCCTTTTTTGTTTGTTTGTTTGTTTTTGTGGTTTTTTTTTTGTTTGGTTGGTTGGTTTTTTTTGATAAAAGATTCTTTCAGCTCATCATCCTTTGTCCTGATCTATAAAAAATGGGAGTTATATCAGCTAGAGTCCAAGACATTTCTGTTTTGATTCCCTAAATCATTTTGATTAAAAACTGCAAGCATTGAAAACAAGGAGAACTATTTAAAATCTGGAGTGAAATTTTGGCCTCACTACTGTCAACAAAAATTTTATCACACAATTTACTGCAGATGGGATTGCCTCAGGCTAGTAGTACTTAAAAGGTTGCACACTGGTTTAAAAGATGCACATAATCTCTTTAATATTTAAGACTTAATTAAAAAAATGTATACTCTGACTAAAGACACAAACTGTATAAAACAGAATTCTTTGTTGGAATTATGCTACAAATACCCCATAACAGCAACGCAGTTATTTGTTTTACAGAAAATAAATGGAAAAAAAAATTCTAGGATTTTCAGCAACCAACATAACTAGTTTAGCTGGTTCATATCCCAGATGGGTTAAAATACATTATGGATCTAAATACAGAAGTGCAAATTATCTCCTTGCAAATAGGATGACTTAATAATATTTAATATATCATTTAAAATGTATGTGTCTTTCAGCTTGACAGATGATACACACAGATTTCAAAGTATACTCACATCATTTACATAAGACATGGAGCAGGGAACAAGCGACCACTATTACAAATGCAAAGCACATACTAAAAGAGGATAAATAACTTTTATCACTCAGCTGAGTATTACAAAATATTTTTACCTTCATAAGTTACATCAGCGTCTTTAAAATCCAACTTAGTGGATAATGATGACCGGATATCTTCAACAGAGTCAGCACTGAACTGTTTTGTTATCCTGTGGGTAAAAACCACTCTCACAAAAAAATGTAGACTGAATTTAAATTAGCTTTGTTAAATAAACATTACTTTCACTAAGTCAAAATTTCCTCTCTTAAATCTTAGATGTTTAGATGCTGGTTCATTAAATGGAATAACTGCAAGTCTTACAGAAGAATTATTAATATCACAATTCCCATATAAATGCATTTCATATTTCTTTACAGAATTACAAGAAACAGATTTCTTTACATCTTGTACTTACATAGATCTTCAGTTTTTGTCCTCATACCAAGAATTTGCCAAAGAGAAACTGTTGTAGAAAAGCTGTTATTCTTTCCAAGTTCTAAACATGCAGGCGCAATATGTGCTGTACTTTTCAGACTCTTCTAAGTGGCAGAAGTATCTAGTGCTCTATCTGTGCAGAAACAGGTGCTTTGCACAGCACATCAGATATAGTTTTAGCTTTATTGGTTTAAGAGAAGTCAACAGCTGAGGGTCAACAACAAAGAAAGAATTTTTTTTTTTTTTTAGATGTAGGAAGAAAATACAATCAAGGCATAAGGCTGAAATCGGATTCAAACAGATAGGTATTCGAAATTTGAGAGACCCAAAAGCAGAGATGAGGAGGGCTTTGTTGAAATGAGATCAGGGCAAAATTATTCTGCAAGTGAGAAGGGGAAAGAAGTAACACAAGGAACCAAAGAGGAACACAAGCAAATCATAACTCTCATGAAAACCTAAGGGGCTCATTAGCCTACTGGAGCTGAAAACAAGGGAATGAAAGATAACTGCCACCTGCTTATGCCCACACGTGCAGCTTAAAGGGCACATGCAGGTCACTCAGATGCAGCTAAGATGAAATGGAACCTGCAGTCACAGTGTTACATCACACATACATGCATAGTGTGAAGATACACATATTTGGAAGAACTCCACTTTGAGGAACTCCACAAAATAGTCCATTTGCCATGAAGAAAAACAGACAACAAGTCTACGCCAAAAACAGACTGAGAGAAATACACTGAAGTCTTCCTAGATCAACAGAAAATACATCAAAAGTACAGGGAATTAGAAAAAAAAATCTATGCAGTAATGGGAAATAGGAAGACATTGGGCAGGAAAACTGGGACCTGAAGAGAAATCAAATTAGATACAGAAGCAGGAGTTTGATAAACAGGAATTAGATAAGTAGGCAAACACAGAATAACTCATAGGTGTGTCTCATATGAAGTAAAAGTATGCAGGGAAATACAGGGTTTGTTGAGCAAAACAGCCAGGACAGCAAGCTCAGTGCATGAGATACAAAGATTAAAAGAGGAGTCTGAAAAGTAGAATGTAACTGGAACTATGTCATAAAGTACCTTGCATCAAGAGAAATTTAAAGTCACAGACCCAGAATTATTTTGTGTACTTTCTAAGTGCCTGGCTTTTAAATATACCTGTACTGTATTGTCTTGTATTGTATCCTAGGCCTAGGAAGAAAAACATGTAAACTTTAGAAAAAAAACTGCATGAATTTTTAGTTTTAAAATTACGTTTTAAATTTACATTTATAAATTAATTTTAATTTTATAACCTTTATAAACTGTGTATATGTTCTAGATATCTCCAGGATCTAGAAAAAATAGCACAGTTCTTCATTGTGCTCTTTTTCATTTAGGATCTATGTTCTATTTTGATTTTAACAAGCATCCTCTCTCACTCTCTAACTTTAAAGGTACATAGTTATAAACACTAGAGTGCGATTTAAGGGATTTTGTCACTCAAACACAAAAAGTTCTTTGAACTAACCATAAATAGTTAGCAAACTACCCAGAAAACACAAAAATCATGCATTTAATGATTTAATGAAGGATAGGAAACCCAGAAAAGGATTTTAAAATCTTGGGGTTTTCTCCCCATCTTATTACAGTATGTGATGAAGAAATGGCCATTTCATTCAAACTTTTTTCCTACTCCCTTTCTTAATTACTTGTCTTCTATTGTTTCGACAAGCTGAACTGAGGGTAAATAGATGTCACCATCCAAAGGACTCAGACTATTTTGAATCTTTGTATATTTAGTTACAAGAATTTAGAAAAGATGTGGAAAATAGGCATGAGACTTACAGAAATAAGTTAAGCTAACATTAAAATGAAGAAACATCTGGATATGTCAATGGTTACCCAACTCAGGTATATTGATGACAAAAATATGACATTGAAATAATTTCACTGTTTTCACATTATATTAAATAAAGGTGAATGAGGCAATATAAATTTTCAAATCAAAATGATATCTATACTGTAAATTAAGATGTGACTGTAGTTCATGTATGTTGGATTCTTCTAGCATCTCTGTTGCAGTTGCAGAAATTTCCCTGCAGAGTATTTAACAGCATTTGTGGAATACTAATCTAAGACAGCTTTACTGATGTGCTGCTATGATGACATTACTGCCAGTATTGCAGATAAATTATTTAAATATAACTTGTCTGTGCAGGCAACTATCAGATCTTCTTGCTGCAGTGTAGACATATGCAAAATTTATTAACATTTGGGAAACACTTTTCCAGTAAAAATGAATTATTTAAATTATACTAATCATGTTCTCAGAGGAGCTAATGGGAAGCTTCTAAAATACTTTAAAATCATATATATAAAAATATATACGGCTGTTTCTTCATCTACCTACCCATTTTTTTAACTTGCCTTTATTCTTGCTTCTATTCACTTGTGCGAATCTGTATAAACTAAGAAAACATCGTGTACAGCTAGAGAAAGAACCATAACATTTTCATGTCTTTCCATATTAAAGAAACTTCAATCAAGGAGTTGTTAAGTACTGCTCATGAAAAAACATTTCTTACTGTAAATGACAGAAAACAGCACACAGCTCCATTTGACTATCTACTTAAGATTAGTAACCAAAACTATTTTGCAGATGATATCACTGAATCAGTTTGACTCTGAATCATCATACATGAATCTATTAATCTTTATGATACATAGATATTACATTATGATATTGTGCTATATTTATTGTAATAAGATAGTTCCATTTGCCAATACTGTTAAGTGCATTAAAAACACATCATGACTAGTAAATTAATTTCCTGGGCACTATTTTTGGGGAGTACATAAGATATGAAGTTGAAAATTTTATAAAAATCAACACAGTAATCATAATTAACTATATATGTTCCTATGAAGATAAAAAGCACTTGGTCATTTTCAACCATAAATGTACCTGCTGAAAGCATTTTTCCTCCTTTAATTCTAACTCTTGAATTTGATGCATAATTTTATTAATACAGCATAATGGAGTATTTACAAAAGCACAGCTATGTCGCCTTGTGGTGTTCCACTTGTTCTTGCCTGGTAAAAGAAAGAGAACACAGAAGGATCCTAAACATGTGGGCTGAAATCAGATTTTCTCATACCTGATTTTCTTCCTTTAATTTGCAAATATTTTAGCTTTGGTCTTGAAATTGACTACCAGATAATGTAACAGCTACATCTATTGCTATGCACACAATTTGCTCAAAACCTTATCGTTTTTAAATACAATCTCAAATACAAGGAAGGAGATGAAAAAATGCTTATGGAATATGAAGGAATATTTTCAAAGACAAGAGATACAATAAAGAGGGCTAGGGTCAAAATACAATTTACTACGACTAATTTTATGTAATTAATCCCAAATGAATCCATTTTTATGATTTTACATTAGTCCTCAGCAAGGATTTTGTTCAAACAAAAAAAAATATCACAACCCAAAAAGGCAAAGGTGACAGCTACTATAGAAACACCCAGAGCAAAATCGAAAAGGTCACAAGGCCTTAGAGACAAGCTTAGACTACCCTTATGTACACAATACTTAGTTCCAGCAAATGTTTGCTTCAACCTTATGAAGGGGTGAAGTTCAGGAAGTAATTCCCGTGACGGGAATTTAAAGCTACATGACATAAATGAACTGTTTTACAAGAACATGTGGATTTCACAATTAGCCTTATAACTACATAAATAAATGATTCTATGTCACACTATGGAATGTTAACTATTGAATTGATACACAGAATAGGAATCTGAGTGCAGAGGTGTCAGAAACCAGAACAAGATACTGAAACCTCACAGTAGAGCTATTAAAAAAATCTAAGAAGCTGTCCTACAAATATGAAATGTTAACCTAATTAAGTTCAAGGGGATACAATACTTCAGTATGCCTTGGAGATGAACCAAAAATAACAATAATTGGGATTAAACAGTAAAAGAGAACGAGAAAACCTTCATATATGGGGATTTGTTTGGGTTTTTTGGTTTTGGGGTTTTTTTTAAGAATAATCTCCATGTTTTAACTAAAGTATCAGCTTAAAACAGTAAAAGTTTTTATGCTACATAAGGTTCTTTTAACTTGGTTTTATCGTAAACAGCCTTACCAGAATGGAGGAGATAGTTTGCAATACATTGTTTGAAAAGACAGCCCACTAAAATGAATAACAAAACCTATTTCATAGAATCTTGCTCTGCCTGTTTAGAGAGCCAGAAACCTTCACAGGATGCCTGCACAGCACAATCCTAACAAAGCATATATGGACTTTATATCTTTCTTATACTCTGAAGCCCCACACAGAAGTTCAGATTTTAAGACCAAAATTAACTTCACTTAGTTGCTTCTACTGTTATGTAATTAAATTTATTCTGTTTACATCACTAATGAAACTAACAATACAACCATTTAAAAAAGAAAGGAAATTTTTGAGAGGCTTTAATTAAAAAACATTATTCTCTTACTTTCTCTTACTGGTTTGGTCTGCCTTGGTAAATGTAAGAATTTTACATGCAAGTCTTCCAATTCTTTTATAAAAGTAAGCTAGAAATATAAAGTGGAATACATCACTGATATGTATCAGAGCTATTTTTAAAGGTTAGCAAATCTATTTTCACTTTTCCTACTAAGGGAAAAGCAGCAACTAAACAACTGATGTCATTGCAAATCACAGAGTGGATTCTATTTTAGTAATGAAATTACAGTTAAAAAGTAAACAAAAATAAAAACAATGCAATATCAATCCATGTGACCTGGCTTTTTAAATTATACGTATTATTTAGGATCCTATGATGACATTTGTAACCAACAGTGACTGGAAAAAATTGAAAACAAAATGGATAATATATGAAATAAATTTTAATTAGGAAACCGTTGGTGAAAGGGAGGTTCACATGCTTGTAGTCTGAAACATTGTCATATCACTGGACAGGAGACACGTAAGAGAAAAATCTACTTATTTCCATGTAAACATATAACTGAGATTTACCACAATAAACCCCCTCAAGATTATTTATTTATAATTTGCATAATTCAGAGAAGAACACTCGTTGAAGGCTTAGGTAGTTAAGTCTCAGGATCACAAACTGAGGTCATTTACCAAAATACCTTATCACCCTTCCAGATGACCACTTCTGGATGGTGCAATTCGCATATTAGAGGTCCCCAGTAAATTGTGGTTTCGAACTATGTACAAAATGTCCAGCAGTGTACAAAAACTAACTGGTAAAAAAGAAAAAGAAAAAGAAAAACCAAAAACCACCCATACCCATATTACTATCTTCATCAATATAAAATACTGAGAACAAAAATCAGACAGATTATAGATTTTAGCATTCCAAATTTTTGCAAGTAGCACAATGAAAAAAATAAAGATACATTTATTCCAAATGCTCTGAAACTGAAAATAGTTGCTTAAGAGTCCAACTGGATGGACAGTCAGAGAAAACAAAGAGCAAGATCAAAAGATGCACTTTGTATTCTCCACACCTCAGTTTATTGGTCCACCAAACTCAAACTCAATTCCAAAGAAATGTTAGGAGAATGTAAGCATACTGAGCTTGCCAAAGGAAATGCTGAATTCATGGCTGATCTCTTACATGCAATTCCATGTACTGCAATGCAGACATCATTGTTGTTCTGTTACCATAACAAACTAACTGACTTGGAAACTCTGAGCAACATCAAGAAAGCCTTTCAAACTAAGTCTGTGGAAAAGGTATTTTTAAATTAAATTTATAATAAGTATAACAAAGTTTCAAGTCACCGTATTTTCTACCATGCAATTCTCCTCCGGAAATGTATGGAAAAGGCATTACATGAGTCATTCTCGTATGTCATTTGCACATTTATGCTTTTTTTTCAAGTCTGGTGGCTTTTTAAATTTTATGAAACAATTATTTTCAATGGTGAGATTCAGTGTTGTTCAAAGAAATACAGGAATTTCTAACTGTATCAATGAGAGCTTCTTGGGCTCTGCAAAGTGAAACTGTTATCTCTTAAAGGTTCATCTGGCAGATGGACCAACAAGGCTCCAACAAGGAATACAAAAGAATCTGAAACTCTTAGTAAGTGAAAAAAAAAAAAAAAAGTATTGACGGACAGAGTAGCTCTAGGAAGAAAGATGAAAAAAATATTGCATATGAAAAGATGAAATCCAGAAGAAAAACTTAAGAAACTGTGTCAATTTTTTGTTGCTTGTAAAGTCAGTAACATATTCAGGTCAAGGTATGAACAGACTATTATCTGATACGCTAGCATGTGTTAAGAGAAAGGTGAGAACATCACTTGCCTGTGAAGCAATCAGTTACACAATTCAATGATGCATTCCCCCGCATATAGTAACCCACTTAAAAAAAAAAAAATTGGACAAATACACAGTTGATGAAAAAAGTATCATTTCAATCTGAGGAATGAAAAAACATTAGTCAGCACATAGTTCATTTAGTACGCCTTGACAATCTTAGCCTCAATACATATAAATATTCACATAATCACAGAATATGATGAGCTGGAAGGGACCCACAGTGGTCACTGAGCCCAGCTCTTAGCCCTGCACAGGACAACCCCAAGAGTCACACCATGTGCCTGAGAGCATATTGCAGTATTTATGTTCACAGCTGTAGCCATAAAAATAAAAATAAATTTTAAAAATTTATATTGTCTTACATGGAAAAAAATAAGCCAAATCCAGTGAGATAGCACTCAATTCTGTAACATGTACCTCTGACCATAGGGAAGGGTTATTCTGCACTAATTGCTTTACAGAATTCAAACTAACTGACACTCTGACAAAGACAACCAGTACATTAGTCATATTGCTACAGTATAATTCCTAAAAGTCATTCTGTGTAACTCTATAAAGAAGAAGAAATTATTGTGAATCTTTCATCAGAGATGCATGTATATATATTTATCCAAATATATGTACCTTATATATTATCAAATATGAATATAGCTAAAGCAAACACATACAACATTTTAATTACCTTCTTGGTACTTTACTATAACAGAAATAATTTGTCAGCTGCTAAAAATAAATTTCTAATACCAACATCTCAAACAGAAGGATGAGAAACTACTACAGTTTTTGTTAAAAAAAAATACCTTGGTAAAATTTTTCCAATGAAAGAAACCAGAATTCAGATATTAGTACTTCTATCCACCTAACATAAGCTAATGCTACTATTTCTCATCATAAATGCCAATTCTCAGGCAGAGACTCAGGATATTCCTAAATATGCTTCATAAAAAGCTTATTCTATAAGAACCTTTTTCCCACCAACTCCCATTTTTACCTCTTCACAAAAAGTCTAATTTCCCATGAACTAAACGAAGTGCAAATTGAGATTATCTACCTCATCAGAACCAATAGATATGGCCAAATATTTGTTTAAAATGTTCTCATCCATCTCTGCTCCACTGTGACTATGCCATTTCTCTTGGAATTTTTCCTCCTTCCACAAAATGTAGTCAGCCTAAATAAAAATTATAACCCAATCATAGTTAAAAGGAGCTAACATCCCATGAATAATCTTCACTTTATCATTTTCTGATCTCCAAATGTTTCCTTTCTGAAAATACTATATTTTACCATGTGATTTTAGGTTCCTAGAATTTCTTGTTCAATTTCTGCCTGTCTTAAGTGATGCAGTGAATCATTTTAAACACTGAAACCCAGCCCAGGTTTACTTCGGAATACATGGAAAGGGATTGATATCCCTGAAATTATTCCCCCAAACTACATTTAGTGCAGATATTCCAAAATAGTACTTGGTGTTGTTTAAATAGCAATTTTAAGGATTAAAAAGCTGTTATAGTGATAGTCTGGCCTCCCACTTGAAAACAGGGCTTCATGTAGAATTTTACAGGGGTTAATATAAACCACCAACTCTAACAGAACTATAAGAATTGCTATTAAAATCAGCAAAAGACAGGAAAAAGTCCTTAGGTTCTTTATTGTGCTTTATTCCTTTTACAGGAACAAGATCACAAGAAGAAGTTCTTTATACCAGCCACTTTATTCTTTAAGAAGGCAATTAAGATCCCATAATGTGCTCTCACAAACTTCTAATGATATTCAAAACTAAAAATATTATAGTTGAGCTCTCACTGCTCTCATATAAATACCTCAAATAGTTCCATATCAAAATCAGTTTTTTTTTCTGTATTCCACTATTCTTGTGGTTCTTTGCAGCTCAGTCTGCACCTAAGTAAACTTAATCCCTATTCTTTTTCCACACAACTTAGTGCAAATCTGAACTCCAAACACACAAACCAACACAGAATTACATGGGAAGAAAGTCAAGGATGCAGGAAATTTGTAATATATAAGTGTCATGGGTTTGCCCACGCTCACGGTAGAGAGGTCCATCAAAGACTTCTCTTGTGAGGTAAAACCCCACAGGAAACAGGGTTGGACTCAAAAGCCATTATCCCTTGTGACCCTGTGGTGACAATCCATGGTAGGCAAGTGTCTCCTTGCCGTCCATGGAAGACCCTGCAGGGCCTGGGTAATCCCCCAGCCTCTGGTTTTAGCCCAGGAGGGGGGCAGGCCCAGACTGGAGGCTGACATAGAAGAGAGAGAGAAAGAGAAACAGTTCCAACTGCAATGAATTGGAGTTGTCATCCTAGAGATAATAGAAGAAGAACTTCAGAGTGCTGCAAAGTTATTTAAAAGACCTGGAGCTGTAGAAATTAAAAAGAAACTGTTTCTCCTCTTGAACTGATACAAAGAGAGAAAGAGTATTTTTGTAAATACATAACATTTTTGCCTAATTAGAATTGTTGTAGATATAGTTCTTTAGTTTTTTATCTTGCTAGTTATAAATCCTAATATTATTCTCCCCAATCAGATCTCTTTTGTCTAAATAAATCGTCTCTCAACTTATAGCAATTGTGTGAGAGATGAGAGAAAATTAGCCCGGAGCAAACCCATGACATTTTTGGTGGAGAATGCAGGCAGAGACTGCCCAGAGAGGCAGTGGCCGAATCAGACCATGGCAATAAGGCAATTAAACCCAGGTATTCTGCACCATATTCATGAATGATTCACTTTGTCTTTCTCTCTACATATTCTTGAGTTCCACCTTTCTGACATGAATCAGAAAAGATGAATTATACTTCTACCAAGTTGTATTGAGAAAGTAAATACCTTAAGACTAAGAGCACATTCTGTGACATGGATTCAGAAAAAACATAACTATCTCTGACTAAAGATGGTACCTAATCTACTTCCGTGTCTCTGCTCACACATTTGAAGGTCAGAAACCAGACAACAGGAGAACCGCTGTTTTCTTCCTCACTCCTGAGAGGCCAAAGAGACCGCACAGTAGTAGGAGCAATCTCTCTGATCACGCAAAAAAATCTAATCTCATTGTCAGAAATTAGCATCCAAGCTGCTACAACCACAAAAATCATCCAAATATATTTTAAAGATGATTAGTACCAATGTTCATGCAACTAAGCATGTTAGTTATTTGGTCTGTCCTCTTGCACATAATTAAAATATCATGTAGTATAGCACAATATTTTTGCAAAGATTA